CCGCCCCGGCGCTGACGGGAAGGCGAAGGGGAAGAAATAGCACCAATAAAACCCCAAAAAAATGGAAAAAAAGAAGGAGGAGGGGGGGGGAGAAAGAGGGGGGCAGAAGCGGGACCCCCGGCTCAGCCCCCTGTGGTGGGGCCACCAGGGGTTTGGGGGGAGCCCGGTCTGAGGGTCACGGGGGGGGACACACCAGGGCTGGGGGACGGTGCCGGGAGGGTGGTCCTGCAGCTGGGGGGGCACCGTGTCCGTGCGTGGTGGGCAAGCACCGTGCTCAAGGATCGTGGCCAAGCACCGTGACCACACGTGGTGGGTGACCACCATGGCCAAGCACCGTGACCACACGTGGTGGGTGACCACCATGGCCAAGCACCATGACCACGTGTGGTGGGTGACCACCATGGCCAAGCACCGTGACCACGCATGGTGGTGACCACCACACCCAAAGACCATGACCACACGTGGTGGGTGACCGCCGTGCCCAAGGCCCATGTCCACGCGTGGTGGGTGACCACCACACCCAAAGACCATGACCAAGCATGGTGGTGAACACTGTGCCCAAAGACCATGACCATGCATGGTGGTGACCACCACACCCAAAGACCATGACCACACGTGGTGGGTGACCGCCGTGCCCAAGGCCCATGTCCACGCGTGGTGGGTGACCACCACACCCAAAGACCATGACCAAGCATGGTGGTGAACACTGTGCCCAAAGACCATGACCATGCATGGTGGTGACCACCACACCCAAAGACCATGTCCATGCATGGTGGGTGACCACTGTGCCCAAGCACCGTGACCACGCGTGGTAGGTGACCACAGAGCCCAAGGACCACGTCCACACATGGTGGGTGAGCACTGTGCCCAAGCACCATGGCCAAGCACCATGAAGACATACGGTGGGTGACCACCGAGCCCAAGGACCACATCCACGCAAGTTGGGCAACCACAGAGCTCAAGGACCACGTCCACACATGGTGGTTGACCACAGAGCCCAAGGACCACGTCCACGCATGGTGGTTGACCACCGAGCCCAAGGACCACGTCCACGCATGGTGGGTGAGCAGTGTGCCCAAGCACCATGGCCAAGCACCATGAAGACATACGGTGGGTGACCACCGAGCCCAAAGACCGTGTCTGTGCATGGTGGGTGAGCACCATGCCCAACCACCGTGGCCAAGCACCACAGCTGTGCAAGGTGGGCAAGCACCATGCCCAACCACTGTGCCCAGGGACCGTATCCACACATGGTGGGTGACCACCATGCCCAAGCACCGTGTCCATGCATGGTGGGTGAGCACCGTGCCCAACCACCGTGCCCAAGCACCGTGTCTGTGCGTGGTGGGCAAGCACTGTGCCCGTGCACCATATCTGTGGAGCATGCCCAAGCACCGTGTCCATGCACCATGCCCTTGCACCGTGCCCGAGCACCCTCTCCGAGCCCATGCACCCCGTTCAAGCACCGTGGTTGGGCATCGTCCCCAACCACCATGCCCGAGCACCACGTCCAAGCACCAGGTCCATGCATGGTGCCTGAGCACCACACCAACATACCGTGCCCGTGCATCATCGTGCATGCACAACACCCCCTGCGCCGGGCTGAGGACCCTGCCCGAGCACCGTGTCCCCGCACCATGTTCAAGCACCAAGTTCACACCCCCTGGTTGAGCACCCTGTCCACACACCGAAGTCCAAGCACCGCGGCCAAGCACCATGTTCACGCATCGCGGCTGAGCATCATGTCCACACACCACGGCTGAGCACCACGGCCGAGCACCACGTTCACACCCCCTGGCTGAGCACCATGTCCACACGTCGTGTCCAAGCACCGTGTCCACGCACCATGGCCAAGCACCGTGGTTGACCACCATGTTCACGGTGCATGGCCGAGCACCGTGCCCGAGCACCATTGGTCCATGCACCATGGCCAAGCACCGTGGCCAAGCACCATGTCCTTGATACATGGCCAAGCACCACGTTCACACACCACGTCCAAGCACCATGCCCAAGTACTATGTCCACGACGCGTGGCCGAGCACCGTGCCCGAGCACCATGTCCACGCACCATGTCCAAGCACCGTGGTTGAGCACCATGACCAAGCACCATGTCCACAACGCGTGACCGAGCACCGTACCCAAGCACCTTGTCCACACAGCACGTCTGAGCACCACGGTTGAGCACTGTGCCCGAGCACCATGTCCACGGTGCACGGCTGAGCACCACGCCCAAGCACCATGTCCATGCACCATGTCCAAGCACCGTGGTCAAGCACAGTGGCCAAGCACCACGTTCACACACCTTGGCCAAGCACCGTGTCCACACACCATGTCCGAGCACCGTGCTCGAGCACCATGTCCGTGACGCGTGGTTGAGCACCGTGCCCAAGTGCCACGTCCACGCACCACGTCCAAGCACCGTGCCCGAGCACCACGTCCATGATGTGCGGCCAAGCACCATGCCAGAGCACCATGTCCACGCACCACGTCCAAGCACCGTGCCCAGGCCCCATGGCCATGATGCGTGGCTGAGCACCATGCCCAAGCACCATGTCCACGCACCATGTCCAAGCACCGTGCCCGGGCAACACATCCATGCACCGTGTGTCCAAGTACTGTGGTCGGTCACCATGTCCAAGCACCATGTCTGAGCACCGTGCCCAAGCACCATGTCCATGATGCGTGGTTGAGCACCGTGTCAAAGCACCGCGTCCGTGATGCCTGGCCGAGCACCGTGCCCAAGCACCATGTCCACGCACCACGTCCGAGTCCTGTGCCCTGTCACCATGTCCAAGCACCATGTCTTGAGCACCGTGCCCAAGCACCATGTCCACGCACCACGTCCGAGTCCTGTGCCCTTGTCACCATGTCCAAGCACCATGGTCAAGCACCGTGCCCAAGCACCATGTCCACGCACCACGTCCAAGTACTGTGCCATGTCACCATGTCCAAGCACCACGGTCGAGCACCGTGCCCAAGCACCATGTCCATGAACCATGTCCAAGTCCTGTGCCCTTGTCACCATGTCCAAGCACCACGGTTGAGCACCGTGCCCAAGCACCATGTCCATGAACCATGTCCAAGTCCTGTGCCCTTGTCACCATGTCCAAGCACCACGGTTGAGCACCGTGCCCAAGCACCATGTCCA